TGCTGAACCTTGTTTCCTGTTTCCTAGGTTATGTCTGGTATTTGTAGTTTTTAGCCCAAAATAGAAGAGTGGTAGAATTCTTAGACGTCTGTGTATTTGTGTGTTTACACCTGAAAGTAGGATTTAGCTGATAATTTAGGAAATAGTTCTCTTGACAGTTATTAATTTACTCTAGCAGTTCTCCAAGCGCTGTTGCAACACCACCACAGAGGATAGGATGCTGAATTGGCTAGAATGCAGCTTTTTAGAGATTATCCAAATTATTGAACAGACTGACTTCAGGAGGTCACCTGGGGGAGCAGATGATGTTCATACCTTGTTTAGAAGAAGTAGAGCTCAGTTTCCTCGCATGCTAGACATTTGTTAGGAACCTTACTCCAAATTGCAAGGGACTTGACTCGAACAAAATCTTGGCAGGTTTCAGTACTAGTGCCATGCAGCACTTACGAACTGCAACTCACATGCAGAATAAACCTTTAGTTCTGACTGCAGCAAGACAAGAAATTGCTCATAGGTGTTTACACTAATGTTCTTTTATACATCTTTGGGGGTTTTTCAATGGTCTACAGAGTCACCACATACCAAGCAGTAGCTTGCAAGGCTTTCAGTAGTTTAACTGTGCTTGTAACTTCTTTATCTTAGTTATATTGCCTTTATCTTTTTACTAACTCCCACCCTACCCTTTTCATTTTCTCTGCACTGCCTTTAAAGTCAATTGAAACTGCCAAATCTATCTGATTTGTGTTGAAAATTAAGGACATCTTAAATGTTCATGTTTGGGGGGGATTTTTTTCTTGTGTGTTTTCTTGGGTTTTATTTTTAAACGTTTTTGAAAATGAAAGGTGAAGGATTTTGGAATGAGGATCATTTGCAAATTGCCGTTCTTATTTCAGTGGGCTATCAATACACTTAATATTTATTTTTTTATTCTTAACATTTTACACCTTTCTTCTACACTAAACAGGCATTGATGATGAGAATTTTTTTCCTTCTACTATTTTCAGCCAGCACTATGCTACAGAGGTTAAATTATCTGTTCATCTTCTCCTCTTACTTTGTTGCCTTCTGTAAGAAAATGTTGGGGAGCTAAGAAATGGCTCAGCTAGTGTTACTCAGCTACTGGGGCTGAGAGAGGCTATCGGTGTAATTTACTGCTAAGAGTGCTATTTATTTTTAAGATTATTATTCTGCCCCCACTCCCTCCCGTATCATCATGGATTGAAGGTATACCCTGAGCAATGCTGCATACTGGACGTGGAGTTGCATTGCTTTTTTGAATTGGCCATGCTGTTGTTTGTTCTTCTCATGTGGAGGCTTTACTTTGCTGATACCTATATTCTTTCTCCTCACAATTCCACCACTGTTGACTGTAGGTCTGATGAAAGTGATTCCTCTCTGTCGGAGGTACACAGGTACTCTCTCTTTCTCTTTTCTGTTTTCTTGGCATCTCTCATTCAAGTTATTCCGATTCTTAGGAAATTTCATTTTGCTGCATGAATTTTCCTGGTATCTGCATCACTTTTGCCAAAAGTTTTAAAAAAACTGAACTTTTGGTCATGCATGTCTCCCCCTCTCCTTTTTTAGGGTGTTCCCTATTGTTGTTGAGCATGTTGGGCTTTTTCTTTTAAAATGAAATGTGATATAAGCCTTTCTTTAGACATATTCTTTCTTTGGTTTTTCCTTAAAAGAGAAACAGACATTTTCTTAGGTTTTATACGGTCTTTCTTTTAGTTTTTCTTGTTCAATTGTATGCTTCGCTTACTAAAAATTAAGTCCCAGTATAACTAAAAATTAGCAGTTTTTTCATCTTTCTGATAGAATGCACAGTGGCTTGAGAGATGAAAGAAATGTCCCCACTCATGTTCCTAAACTGTGGCTTAAGGTTTTGGTACTCTGTGAAAAATTAGTTTATCAAGAGAAGGGTGGCTAAAGGGCCAACAATGTGATGGTGGCTTTGTTTGCTCATTGTAGCTGTTGTAGCATTTTTGTCTGTAGATTTTGGAGCACTGCATATAGGTAGATAAGTACCTCTGGGACATGCATTTTTACATGGTTTGTCAAGGGAACAAAAGGTGAGAACAGCAATAGGAATGACTCACTTTAAAGGCAGCATTATTCACTACAGAGAAAAGTGTATTAGTTTTCTATGGAGTTAGAAAACAAAAGCATAGAGACCTGAATTAACGAAAATAATAATTTTTTCCTGTATTCTTGAAAACATAAAAAGGTGCAGATTGAAGAGTGCCTTCCTAAAATGAAGAGCGTAATGTCAACAAAATTTAAGGCATTATTAATATTAGTAAAGATTATGGAGGAGTAGTGAATGATATGAATGAAGATGTCCTGAGCAGTAAAAATGTATAAAGTGATTTCTAAGACTGTATTAGCTAAACGAGCTCATTGTCACAAAGTTAGATATTATGAGGAGGGACCTTTTCCTTTCTGTAGCAAGTTTCTGGGCAATATTATGGATTTTTTCACATTTTCCTCAAGCATCTGACATTCTGTTTTGTGAGACTGGGCTGTGGCTTAGCTGATTTTTCACAGTTGTGTGTAATCCCTAGAAGCGCGTGACAGTGAGTCTTAGCCACAGGCTGGTGAGGTCACAGCGTTGTGTTGCCATGTTTGCAGGCATTACCTTGAGGCATTTCTACACTTCACAGAAATCAATGGAGTTCGTGTGCGCAGTTCTGTGCGCATCACTAAACAATACCACTTTTATGTTGTGAATTTTTTTTCTTTTTTGTTCCCTCCACCACACCCCCAATGGAGTTACAGTCTTTTGACACCACCGCAAGCGTAGCTACAAATCCCCAGGAAGATTCCTCTGGGCTATCTGTACTCCAGCCATAGTCCCTTTTAGCCATTTGAGTACAAGTGTAGCATTGAGCACAGAGTGCAGTAGGACCCTTCCCTAGGCACACAAGTGTCCAGCAGTTCTCCAAGCCTGCCTGTAGAAAGCAGTTGATGTGAAGTGCCTGCTGAGTTTGGAATTGGCAGTGTCCGTTACATTTTCTCCATTTTTTAGGTGTGCTGTTTAGATTATGATGTATTTGTGCAAAGTCCTAGATATCCAGGAGCTCCAAGGATCCTGGTGCATCCTGGTACTTTCAGCATTACACAGATTTTCTCATGTATCCAACATTCAGCATCTTGTTGTCTTTTCATTTGTTTGGTGTTTGGTTTTTTTTTTTTTGTATGTGATTTCCTTTAACTGATAGTCCAGGGTTGGTGCTTGTTGAAGCTGAATACTAAAAATTCTTACATAGTTTATGAAAGGCATTCAGCTGTTCTCCCCTCACATGTTGGAAAACTAGATTAACTTTTTCCCCCTACATCTAAGTAAAATAACTTTATCAATGTCTATTACTATGCCCAACTCACATTCTCTTATTTCCTTTAGGGGGATAATCAACCCATTCCCTGCTTCAAAATGCATCCGATCATCCCCGCTTCAGTGTATCTATACAGCTGAAGGCCATATCAAGGCTGTGCTTTGTGTTGATGCAACTGATGACCTCCTCTTTACTGGATCTAAAGGTTGGGCAAGCTGTGTGCATCTGTGCTGCCTACAGAGGCTGCTTTGACAGCTTGGGGTATTTTGAAATGTTCAGTTTGTGCTTAGTGCTGTAAGCACAGTGGAAAATTATGAGGATCCATTTCATAACATAAGCTCAAAAGGATTTACAGAAAAGTAACTATAAAGGAAAAAGTAACTATGAACAATAACACTAACATGTTGAGTGATATGATGGAACCAATCACGGTAATATGCAACACTGTGCAATTCAAAGTAATAGCCTTGGGGTAGGAGTAGAGGTGGGAATTAGCACACCTTTGGCTGTGCTACCTGCAGAGTCTGAACTGAGTCTTCATACCGTAGTTAACTCTTCTGCTTCTCTTGTGGGTTTGTTGCCTGAACCTTAAGGGTGTCAGAATTGTATGTCTGTTGCAGAAGAAGCTGAATTTCTAGTAATCACTGAATTCCTTATGGGATGGTGCAGCCAGGCTATGAACTCTTCTAGAAACATTGTTTTGGAAGAAAACACTTTCCTCATGTCTTTAATTTGCCGTTGTTATCACTGAGTTTGGCTTGAAGATAAGATAACCAGACTTCAATTCTTATTTTTCATGAACATTCTTTTTAATATCCCTCAGAAAGTGCTTTCTGCATGTTCTTCTATTCCTCTGGGCCTTTTCATAGAAGAAACTTAGGATAAAGAACTTGCTATATTCTTAGTTGTGCAGCTGAAACTCTGGCAGACTCTTTTCTCCCAAATAGAACCTGTGTGATAACCTGCAAATTTATTTTTTTTTCTGGGAAGTATCAAATCTAATGTGCACTAGTGTAATGGCTGGGAAGACATTAACACCTACTGACAGGGATACTCTCGTTTTTATTAGTTCACTTAATGAGTAAACTCTAAAATTTCAGGGCATCCTTTTTATCCCTATGTTAGCATAGAGATAACCCCATCGAATGCAGGTCTTCACTGCCAATTTTCAGGTATGGTTGCTGTGGCTATTCTAGCTGGCTGTTAAAAGTACCAAGACACACTCTTACAGTGAATTGGCAAACCTTTGGTTTTGTAAGGTTTAAGCCAATGTTTCAGCATTTGTGCAAGCATATAAAAATGTAAAAAGGGACACGTTTAGTTTCTGTAAATGCTGCTTAGTTGATTTGTATTGAGATTTTAGTTTAGTGGCTATATGGGAAGGGGAAAAAGGCTTTTTAATTTTTTTCAGCATATGGATACTTGCAGATGTTGTGAATGTTTGCTCTTTCTTGTCATACTTTTCCATATCTTTCCATACTTTTGAAAGAATTTTTCCTGTATGTATTCTTGGAGGGGAAAAGTTTACAAAAGTACACTTGTACTCAAGCATGTGGACAGCTGTTTAATTATATAAAGTTAAATCTTTGGGAAATTGTTGCTGAAAGCCTCAGTCACGGACTTCACATAACACTAGCAGCCAGTGCCAGTTCAGGAATGCCAACCAGCTTTCAGGCACATTGCAGATATTGGGCTTTGGTTTTGCTAGTTGGTATTTTTAAAGTGGCTGACAGGTTTTTGTACACTTACCTTCTTCATGAAGGTTTACTGTCTACACATGAAGCTTTCTCTTGATCCAGTGCTTATTTTGGTAAAAATGTACCTCTGAAATGTATGGAGTGATAAAGACTTTGTACAACATGGAAAGTTTCCTGTGTTCTCTTTGTATTGCAAAATTATTGAAAAGTTCTATGTATTTGGGATTTTAGTACACGAAGTGTCGGAGGTATTTAAATTCCTTTGCTACTGAATTAAAGCACTTACATTGGTATTTTCAGGGGCTCCCAATGCACCAAATAGTTTGGATAACTTTTCATCACCTTTGCCTCTCTGTCTGTCATGCTGAGTCTCAAAGTCCCTCTTGAACTACGTTCTTGATGAAGAATTCTTGAATTAAAAACGGGGTGGTTCTCTTATCTGTCACCATCTAAACTTTACAGCCCCTAAGCTCTTTGTATCTATACTTCACTTTCTTTGAGGTGGATTTTATCCTTTCACACACCTTGAATGCACAACATTTAATTATTAGCCTTGCTTAGTTTTGATGATGCTAGATGATGCTCATGCATATTCTTTAACTATTTTTCTACAGTACATACCTGAATGGAAGGATATGTACAACTGCAAATGAATGCATGTACTCTTTTTCCTAAACTCAGTAATTAAAAAAAAAAAAAAAAAAAAAAAAAATTCTGTTTGAGCTTTTTTCAGTCTTATTTCCCCCTTTTTTTTTGTCTTTATTTAGATCGTACCTGTAAAGTCTGGAATCTGGTAACTGGACAAGAGATTATGTCTCTAGGGGGTCATCCAAATAACGTTGTTTCTATAAAATATTGCAACTACACTAGCCTGGTGTTCACAGTCTCAACCTCCTATATTAAGGTGTGGGATATCAGAGATTCTGCTAAGTGTATTCGGACATTGACGTAAGTATGCTAAACCTCAAATTTCAACAGTTCAAATGAGTCTTAAATTTAGCTACATTTTATTATATTTAATTCAGTTAGTGCAGCAGTGTAATCTAAGTACCCTGTTTTCTTGGGCTGGAAGCTTTCTTTCCATGTTCGGGCTAAGTCAGTATGAGGTACTGGTAATACATGGAAACAAACCAATTTGCATTCATGCCTATAGTGTTTTATCAACTGTTCAGTATTCATAATTGGCTTATAGCCTTTTTGCTCAGGTAAATAGGTTTGTTTTTAAACATTATGCAAAGTAGGGAGAACAGAATATATGCTTTATTTTGATGGTTTGTTTTCTCTCCTTCCTCCCTGTACTCAGATCTTCTGGCCAAGCGATGCCTGGTGATGTGTGTTCAGGAAGTACTAACAGAACAGTCACTATCCCAGCTGGAGAGAACCAGATCAACCAAATTGCACTGAATCCAACAGGCACATTCCTCTATGCAGCTGCTGGAAACTCAGTGAGGATGTGGGACCTGAAAAGGTACTGATCATCAGCAGTGTTCTTTTGCTCTTTAGGTGGTTACATGTGCATATGAAACAAAGTCAATAAAGTGTTTCCTGTTTATGCTAATCTCCATAACCTGGGCAAAATATGGTGAAGATATGGGTCAAATAATCCATGCTGTAGTGGTTACTGAGATAATGGAGGTGCTTATGATTTCCTCATACGTTAATGTTATGGTGAATTGTTTCAGAAAAATGATTGGAAAACCACAACGTTTTGCTTAAGAGAGGCACTATAAAACAGACTTATAAGGTGACAGATGCATGGATCCTGACTAGTAATTGTTAATGAGATGATGAAAGCCAGCTGATATATTGTAATATAATATGCAACTGACAGCCCACTATAATAGCACTTCTCCAAACAGAACATGCTGCACTCAATGACAGCATTCAAAATACAGAAAGTACTTTAGAGAGATCTGCTTTGTCTTCACTTTTAAAAATTTTAATTCTCATCTTACATAAAAAAAACCTTTTGTTTGTATTTCACGTAGATGTAACCTTTACCCATGGACATGAGCAATAGAGTATATGTAAACCAAAGGATGAATAGTGAAGACATAGGGGAAAATAGGTAGATCCATTCTGGCAGAAATTATGCTATAGGCTGTATTGAATATATGGAAAAATAACAAATCCTAATTTCTTCTCTTATTCTTCAAGGTTTCAGTCTACAGGAAAGCTAACTGGCCACCAGGGTCCTGTTATGTGCCTTACTGTAGATCGAATTTCCAATGGACAAGATCTTATTGTCACTGGTTCAAAGGATCATTATATAAAGGTAAACCATTAGTATTTCCTTATTTAACTCTTTGCATCAGCATGAGATGCAAGCTGCAGCAAAAGTGACTCACATCTCTGAGATGTGATAGCCAAGATAAAAATTCTTTCATCAGTTACAGATGATGAATAACGTTCAGTCTTAATAAACACTTCAGTGCTATTTTTATTTCACAATGGAACACAGGTGGATGGTTGTCTGTAGTTAAACTTTTTCTTAATCCTTGACAAGGTGGACATCAGGTATATGAAGTTTTGTAGTAATGTTCATAATACTTAAGTAACATTTAGCTTTTGAAAGTATCTTAAATGCCCCTGTTTTGGAGTGCAGACCTGATTGCTTCAGCAGAGACACAACATGTGCTCCCCACAGCAGAGGGTCTGGGGTCTAGCCCAAGCTCTTGCTGAAGTGCTATCCAAGTTCTGAAGTGGGGAATGAAAGAGAGGACAGCGTGTGTCAGCTGAGGTGCCCAGTCTGTTTGGTGGATTCATTATCACACGTGTTGCTCTGAGTTGTGTTCAAAGAATGGCCAGTGGTGTTCTGATATTATCCTGCTTCTTGGCATTGTGATTAATTCACTCAAGGAGAAGGAATATGGTTTTTGGGAGAGGGGTTCTGGGTTTGCCCCCCACCTCTTTTTTTTTTTATTTATTTTTAATTTTTTTTGGCCCACCTCAGCCAGGAATTATTGGAACCATAAGCTCCTGTTTCTCAGGACTATGTCCAGAGCTGACCCTAATGCTGCAAAGGCTAAAGAGAAAATGAGCAAGATATGGTAGCTTGTTATGGAGAGGCCCCTGCCATTCTGCTCTTACACTTCTTACACATTGGATAAAGTGTACAAACACATCTGGGAGTGGAGCAGGAGTCAGAACCCGAGTGAACTTTCTCATTGAGCTAGGCTTTCTCTTTTTTAGCCTGCAATTCTTGGAGGCTTGGCTGTGCACTGGGCTAGCCTCAGAACACAGTCTGGGACTGCCTAGCTTGATGGTTTGGGCTGTGGATTTGAATCCTATTGGCAGTCCTTATGCTTAGAGGCCAAAGGATTCTTAGGCAGTAGAGCAACAGAGAGTTCCTCTAATAATGACTTCCTTGCACAGTTGACGATGTTGAGTAAGAAGCTACAGTCCTGGCACAGTAGTGAGTGCAGAACATCAGTTGAGACAACGATGTGATTGTGTAATGCAGTTTGTCATGCTACCAACTCATATGGAGGTGGAAGAGCACTTGGAAAAACGTAGCTGTTGACAGTCAGAGCAGTTTCTCTGCCATTCTTGTGTGCTTGCTTGCTGTGGGCAGGCTACCTAAATGAGGTACCCTATGAGGCCACTTGCTTCTTAACTTACACCACTAGAATA